CTACTCTGGTGAGTGAAACTACTCTACAGTTCTCTATTGCTCAGTCTCTGTCCAGATGTGGCGCCATGCCAGAGAGCTCCTACGGCCTTTAGCTGAAAGGCCGGTCACCTCTGAAGCCGATGACGCTTGGCTTTGGGGGCTTGGCCATTTCTCTCTAGAGGGCTCTGGGGGAAGTCAGTTGCCACTTCTGCCTGGTCAGCTCTCCTTCACTCACCGACTGACTGTCGGTGCTGCGAATCACACCCGAGCGGTGAAACCCCTTTTCTAATGCCTCCTGCGCTCCCTGGAAAGCCAGAGCACCTAATTTTTATGCCATTCTCAGATGTAGACAGTTTTTGCCACTGCAGTGGTAAATGGTCAAAGATATCTACACATTGTTCTCCAAAACTTTAGGTTTTGAGTTTTGCCTTTTTTGTTTTGTGTTGTGTATTCTACTACTGACTACGTGGTTCTAAAATACTGGGCTTATCTGTGCTAAAATTCTCATCACATCTAACAAGTTTTGTCATTGCAGAATATTTGTTGGTCAATTCTTGATAAGGACCAGGTAAGCTCTATTCTATTTGATCTCCTTGTTGCTTTAATTGGAAATAATAAAGGGCTTTTGTGGCAAAGATTGCAGTTCAAAGCCAGCCTGGGCTGAAAAATCCCCAAGACTCCATCTCCCAACTAACCTGCAAAGAGCCAGACTGGAAGCATGGCTCAAGACTCTTATCTCGAACCAGCAAACACTGCAAGTGGTACTATAACTCAAAAGTGCTAGCCTTGAGCAGAAGTGCTCAGGGACAGTGCCCAGACCTTGAATTCAATCCTCCTTGAATACCAACTGGGACAAGCCATCCCAGCAACAAGCACCTAGACTTAGCCAGTCTGGGGAGCAAGGGACGGGAGTAAGAGGAGATGATGGAGAGGAGTAAGAGGAGATGATATCACATCAGCAACTTTGTGCCTGCCCTTTCAAAATTAATCAGAGCCGGAGGTCAATAGAAGTAAGAAGCCTGCCCATCTAGTGTCTATACCTGTCTACCTATTAACTGGACAGGAATTTATTTTTTATTTTGTGAAAATACTGTACAGAGGGGTTACAATTACATGGGCAAGATAATGAGTACATTTCTTATCAAGCATTGTTGCCTCCTCCTTTGTTTCCCCTTCCCATCCTCCCCCTCCCCCCCCAATTCTCCCTGCTCCCCGCCCCCCCACAGGAATTTATATTCTTGCCTTTGTTACCAGATGTCAGAAGTAGCTAGGGACATTTCTTTTTTCTTTTCTTTTTTTTTTGGTCCGGTCATGGGGCCTGAACTCTGGGCCTGGGCACTGTCCCTCAGCTCTTCAGCTCAAGGCTAGCGCTCTACCACTTGAGCCACAGTGCCACTTCCGGCTTTTTTCTTTTTGCTTATGTGGTGCTGAGGAATCAAATCCAGGGCCTCAGGCATGCAAGGCAAGCGCTCTACCACTGAGCCACCTCCCCAGCCCCACTAGGGACATTTCTACCAACGTTTTTCAGCCCCAAGTCCTTCCTCTTGCCATTTATTTACTCTAGTATTTTTCAGCCCCTCAATGCCTCATGAGACTTCTCCAGACTTCATCTATGAATTCACGCCACCAAGGAACAGCTGCTGCTAGCTGCCTTCTCTGGGAAGGGACAAAATTCCAGCCTTTTACCCCTAATGTTGATGCCCCTTGTCATCAGGAAGTAGCCAGAGAGAATCTGCGCCCTATTTCATAATTATTAAAAGGCTGGAATGTAAGGTCCGCTCCTGGATGGCGAGCAGACTCCACCCAGTACCTGCGTTACCTAGGCAACTGACACACCTGGAAGAGGTCACATCTGCATCCGCTGAGGTCACATCTGAATTTGATGTGGCCACACCTTTCTCCGCCTATACCCTAGATAAGGCCTAGCCCAGGCCCAGACGCTCTTTCTCAGCTTTTTCCTTCTCAGCTCTTTCTCAGCTCTCTTAGCTCTTTTTCCAGCTCTCTCTATCTCAGGTCTTTCCCAGGCCTTTCCCAGCTGTGTGGAGTGCCAACCTGGCCTGGTCCCAGCAGGTCTACTGAATAAACCTACCCCTTACCTGAAAAAAAAAAAAAAGAATGGAAGCACAAGCCATCAGTGCCCATATATTTTCAAAGTAATTTCTACACAGACTAAGTTTTTGTAATCATCTTTTCAATCATTAAAATCGACTTTGAAGGAACAGATTATGTGTTTTTTCTTAGAAAAATAAAAATTAAAAACAAAACCTCCTAGTTAATATCCATAATGATAGAAATATCTGTCAAATGTAAGAAATGCTCACTATATTGAAAATGAACTATGTAACTTGCATGTGGGACATGAGAGAGTAAGGGAAGGGGTAACATTGTCCAAAAAGAAATGTACTCTTTGCCTGACTAACTTATGTAACTGTAACCTCTCTGTACCTTTACAATAACAATCTTTTAAAAATTCAAAAAGAATGCTTACTTTGTTAGGTACCACAATTCTTACTGTTATTAGAAGCAAGGAACTTTGTCATGAAAAAAAGATTGTCATCGTCATACAAAGTACAACATGCTGGAATATTCTGAAGGCAAAAGCAGATATTCTATTGTCAGCCCTTCACTATTCTCTGAATACATATGGCTGAGATGAGAATGTCAGTATCAGTATATTATAAAATAATAATGTTTTGTAGAAACATAAACTGATATCTTTTTTTTCCCCATACTGTAACAAATAGCCCCGAATATCTTTGATTTTACTGGAAGTTCAATTTTCTTTCTGGCTTAGTCTGGCCTCAATCTCTCTCTTCAGCCTTATGTCCTTTCTGGAGCTCAGCTCCAGGTAAACAGATTTATCCAGTTACCTCAAATTGTATTGTGCTTTCTATATGAGTCCCTCTGTACACTTTATCTTCTGTGAAAAACCCATTCCAACTTCTGTGCTAACCTATCTAAACGCTATTCACTCCTTAAAAATATACACATTTACCTAGCTACTCAGGAAACTGAGATCTGGAGTATTTTGGTTTGAAATCAGCCTGAACAGAAAGTCCATGCAATTCTGTCTCCACTTATCCAGCAAAAACTTGGCTGGTGGCATTTCTCAAGGTTAAAGTGCCATCAGAACAAGCAATCAAACAAGTGAAGGCTCTGAGTTCAAAGTTGAATATCATCACCACCATAAAAAAAAAATCAAACCCACACATTTTAAATCTTACATCTATAAAGTCTTATATATTAACCAGCTACATTAGATTCACCAAGAAAGTTTTAGAAACAGATTTTCTAGTGTTTATTTCAGTGGTTGAATACTGAATAAAATTTACAAGGAAATACCATTAGCAAGATAAAAAAGAAATATGGTAATACAGAACTCTAAAACTTAAAATATGCCATTTTGCTAGTACCACTTCATCAGACAGTTATAAATAGGGACATATGGGGGGGGAGTTAAAACTTTAACATGACTTAGAATTTCCGTGTGTGTGTGTGTGTGTGTGTGTGTGTACATGACTTGGAATTTCCGTGTGTGTACGTATGTGTGTGTGTGTACTGGGGTGTGAACTCAGGGCCTGGGTGTGGTCCCTTAGCTTTTCTGCTCAAGGCTGGTGCTCTAACATTGGAGCCACACCTCCACTTCCAGCTTTTTGTTAGTTTATTGGAGGTAAGACTTTCCAGCCCAGCCCCGCTTTGAAACAAGATCATCAGATCTTAGCCTCCAGGATGGTTAAGATTACAATTGTTCACTTAGTGATTCTATGACCAGCCAGCTACCCATGCGCTCTTCATTCATCCAGATTTGCAACTAAGTGCAAAGTGTTGTCTAAACACAATACATATACAAAAATTATTTTTCTTCTTTCTGTAAGACTAACAGTCAAAATAATTAATTATGTGATAAAACACTCTGACAGAAATATGTCATGGAAGCCTAGAACAGAAGTGCTGAAATGGAGGGGGGAGGTGTACATGCAGCTGTAAGATTATTCTTCACAGAAAGCTTCCCAAGTTTGACAGCTAAATTGGGTAAAACTGTGTGCCACTGGAAGCCTGAAAAAAAAGTCTCAAATGCACTCGTATTGTAAAAGTAAACATAAGCTACTTGTGGGAAAAGTAGTGATGGTGACACTGGAGATGAAGGAATCAGAGGTTCAACGAACATGGACGGTGTCAAATTGAAATAGCAGATTAAATTTACATTTGAGATGTATTACTGTCTTGTTAGCAACCCTATAAAAAGACCTTGGGAGTGGAGATCATAGATTTTATGCATATATATGTATATCTATATATATATAGAATCTTTACTAATCAAGGAAGATAAGTATTGTTCCAGCTTCACTTACAATTTACACCGCATCGACATTCAAGATGACAAGGTCTTTATTTCTTAGGCCCATTCCTGCCTTAAAGCTTTTGCACAGGTTCTTTCACTCAGAATTATCTACTCAAACAAGACTGTCCCCTGACATTTAAGTATCACATAATTCCTAAGTGGCAAGCATGTTAATGGGTGAATATACCAGTCATTATTTTCACTTGACCCATGGCTTCCTCAAATTTTCCACAAGATTAAGGAAATAAGAAGCCCAACAACAACAGATGACTTTAAATTCCACCTTTGTCTCTTCCCACAGGTACAAGTGGGTAATCTGCAGTAGCACAGGGATCCGACCAGTAGGAAAGTTTGTTTAAAGCTCATTAAAGTTTGTTTGGCTCATTTAAACCGCGCTGTTGAACAGCTGTAACGCAAGACCACCGGCCATTAAGTGGGAGACCGAACCATCCTTCCCAGGTAACTATTTCCCAAGGGCCCCGGGAGGGAAATCTAGAGAAGAGACTTTCAGAAGCTGTCATGGGCTGCTCAGTTCCGCGACTTGGCTGTGAACACAACGTCGCCCCGGCGGGACCCCGCGGGGCCAGCCCGCAGCGGCGGCGCCGACCCCTCCGCGGCCCCTTCACTCCGGAAGAGGAGTCGCTGAGGGCACTCCTTCCTCCGGACCAACGTGTCTCACCTCTCTGTAAGTCCAACTTGGTTTCGCGGATGTAATTGTCCGGGTTCCGGCTCAGCATCTTCACCTTCATTTTAGCGCCTGAGGCCCACCGGGACCCCACGGGCCTTCTTCCCAGGACTGACACTACCCCAGCACGCTCCACTTCCGCCTCGCGCCGGGTACTTCCGGTCACGTGACGCCGGCGCGTGTAAAGCCGGCCGGCGCGGCGGGACCCGCGGCGCGCTCCGTAGTTGCTCCGCGAAGGCTGGCTGGGGGCGGTCCTTCTGCTTTGGGCTCCGCGGGTGCCGGTGGCCGCGGTAGGCGAGGCTGGGCGAGGACTGGGCGGACCCCTTGGGCCGGCTTCCACCGCTCCGACACTGGCGTGACCTGCGGTTGGGCCCGCACACCCCTTCGCGCCCGAGTGGTTCCCGCTGGGCGGCTGGTGTTCTGGACCGTCCCGGAAGTGGGCTCGGGCCCGGGGTTCCCGCTCTCGGCTGAGCACCGTCGCCACGGTGGCGGCCACTGCATCTCCTCCCACCTCCGCGGCGCTGGGCGCCGTGGTGTCGACGGGTCCCGAACCTATGCCCGGCCAGAGCCAGCCGGCGGCCGGGTCGTCGGCCTGGAGCACGGTATTCCGCCACGTCCGGTACGAGAACCTGGTAGCTGGCGTGAGCGGCGGGGTCCTGTCCAACCTGGCGCTGCATCCACTCGACCTCGTGAAGATCCGCTTCGCGGGTAAGTGTGCCCGCACACCGACACGCTTTCCCCTCGCTGTCAGCCCGATCCCGGTGCAAACTCCCGAGGGAGGCCGTGGTCTCCTGCGCCTCCACCGTGCACTGGGGAGGAGGGCCTGCAAAAGGATGCTTTCTGCCCCGCCTCGTCCAACTCGGTGCAACTCTGTGTAGGAGTGGGTCTGGCAAAGGGGCTTGGTCCCTGTGTGCCCTGCTCCCCAAGACTAAGAGTGGAGTAAAGTATGGGAAGAGATTGTCACAGTTGCTTCGCGTACTTGTAGTTCATTCAAATCTTAAAGGCTGCCACGTGGTTTGCCAGCATAAACTGGAAGGAAAGTTCAAGTGCTGGGGAGAGAGCCCAGTCCTAAGTAGGTGGTTAGGTTTGGGTAGAATCTTCTTGAAGATTTCTTTCGGCATGATCGTATACAATGTGATCCAATATCCTGTAAAGGAAAAAAAAAAAAGAGTTATACTCTGAAAATTATTTTGTTTAAGTCTATTGAAATTAGAATGCTTTAGAAGTTCAAGTCAATGACACAATCTGAAAATGATAGCTTCAATGATGATTTTTTGGTAACTTCATTTGGAAACTATTTTCTGCCTTGAGAGTTAAATGTGTAGAAGTGGTTTATCGTAGAGTAATTCTGTGTAGTTTTGTTCAGTTCACTTGATATGTCTAATCTGGGACTGCTGTGTATGATTACAGAAGTTATTGCCTTGGGAAACTTAGTCTAATTGTAGGTTTGAGACTTACACAAAAGATAATTCTAGACAACATACTATTAAAGGCATAGTAGAATAAATCCAAATACAAAGTAGGTATACAAATAGTCTCAAGAAAATTATTGATTACCTATGGCTGTATGGATCCATACCGGTTCCATGGAAAACTGGGTCTTGAGTTTCTTCATGTAGTGAATATGTTTACAATCAGGAAGACACCCTCTATATGGGGAATTAGACAGAAATTATGGGTATTAATCTAGAAAAGACACCACAAATGCACATAATTTTATGACGTTTATGCATGTGCAGATTAATTATGATCGTTGATCAGTAAACTTCATTGACCTTTTACTAGGAGAAACACTATGCAAACCAAGAGCTCTAGATGTATTATTTTATTCATTGTCCTGTGAATTGATTAGCCCTTGTTCAGATAAGGATAAATAGAGATGGTTATGTTGCCCAAATCACAAGATTGTGAAGATGCAGCTGGAATTGAAACCTATGCACCTTAACTTTGAACCCTTTAGCAGTTAGCTACTCTGCAAATCCCTGGTATTTAGTGGCTTCAACATGAATAAAGAATTTTGAACTGGGCTGCAGATGAGGACTTGTTTCTTTGAATCTCTCTTCTGCGGCAGTGTCTAGCAACAAAAGTAGAGGCAGTTGAAATGATCATTGAGGAATAGTGTGGTTAGCCTAGTGAATTTCAGATGGCACTAGGAAGTAGACTGTGCATGCTTGAGGGAAGGGAATTCTTGGTACTGAAATGGGTGTGGGAAACTAGTAAGACTGATGGGATACACAAGGAAATTTGGATTGAATTGGACCTTAATTAAAGATCTAGGAGTCAAAGCAGGACTTGGTAATAATAAAGCCCAATGTGGCTGAAATGGTGATAGAAAAAGAGAACTCTTAGGAAGACAAATATTGAAAATAAAGATAATTGAGTGGTCATTAGCAGCAATGCCGAGTAACCTATTGTAGTTTTAATGCTTTCATATCATTAACCTCATTTAATAAAATTAGTAGCTAGTTATGGGGGAGGGGATAGTTTTGACTATATGTGCTGTGAAAGCCAACCTAGAATCTTTCAAGTCAAGTAAATTGGAACTCAGCGTGTTCAGAGTTACAGAAACATTACAAATCACTTCATATGAAGAGACTAGAAAACTAGAGGACCCAGTTTAGCTTGGAGAGAGAAAAAAATACTTATGATATTTGTTGAACTTCCATGTCATGAAAGAGAGCTGCCTTGTTGTTGGTTGTTCCTAAGGCCAGTCCTAGGTTGAAAGGAAATTACAGGGAAGCAGAATTAGAAGTGGCCAAACAAAAAAAAAAGTTGGTGATGCTATGAAATGAAACTATGACTTAAGTGTGTAAGACAGATTAGATGATAAAAATTAGAAGATGCACTTACGTTGGGTGGAAAAGTAGCATTAGATGATGATTTCCATTATAACTGTATAATTTTTTTAGTTATGGTACTTCTGTTTAAACTCAAGGCTTCAAACTAGCTAGGCAGTTTCTTTACTACTTGAGCCAAACCTCCAGCTGTGTGATGTATTTCTAAATCCTCAAGAATAAGAGTGAGCCCCGGGGCTGGGAAGGTAGCTCAGTGGTAGAGCGCTTGTCTTGCATGCATGAAGCCCTGGGTTCAATTCCTCAGCACCCCATAAGCAAAAAGAAAAAAGCCGGAAGTGGTGCTGTGGCTCAAGTGGTAGAGTGCTAGCCTTGAGCTGAAGAGCTGTGGGACAGCGCCCAAGCCCAGAATTCAGGCCCCACGACTGGACCCCCCCAAAAAAGAGAGAGAGCCCAATGAAGAATGAAAAATTAAACATAATAGAAATAATAATTTCATAAAATAACCCAAAAGCTCAGTAATGCATAAGTTAAAAGTGTGTGAGTGGTTTTTGTGAAGAATGTAGAAAGAATATGACTGTCTGTAATATTAAGGATGGCACCAAAATGTAGAGTCCACAAACAAGATTAGCACATAATAGTTTCTATTTATCTAATGATATAAATAATACTTACTGAGTGCTTGCATTATTCTAGGCATGATTCTAAGGAAGTTGCATGTATCAATTCAGTTTATCCTTTGTAATTTCTTTTTGTGGCTATGCTGGGTTTTGAACTCATGGTCTTGTATTTGCTAGGCTGGCACTCTTTCACTTAAGACATGCCTCTGGCCATTTGTAATTCTTATGGTTAGATTCTGTTACCTTGCCCCACTTTTGGATGTGGAAACTCAGGTGCAAAGTAATCAAACACTACTCAGAGCCACACAGTTTTGTTGTTGGATAATTTGGTATAGTCAAAAGGAAAATTCAAATGTTAGACATTAAGATGTAAAAAAAGAAAGAAAGAAAGAAATGAAGATGTATTTGCACAAGCTGTTGACCTGTCTAGCAGTATAACTCCTAAAAATAAACTAATCATTCTTACCTATTACTCAGATATTTAATACTCTAGGATTAAGTAACTTCCCAAAATAATAAAGGAAGCATTGATTTTTACCTGTAAAAAAGTAAAAGTGTATCTTTGTGGTATGTTTTGTCTTATCTCAAAGAGAAATTTCATTGTGAGCTTATTATTGAGAGAAAAATGGAAGGATACTTGGAAGAAGACCTTTGTACAAATTGGAGACACAAATCCAAGGGAAGCATCATAAAGATTATAAAGTACATGGCAAAACATTACTCAACAGCCACTCCATTATCGGCTTTTAAACTTTTGTATAAGCAAAATCTGTGAAGTAGATATTTATACTCATATAATGACGATGCTGAAGCTCAGAAAGATTGAATAATTAATAATAAGAAATTAGATATCAAACCCAGTCCTCTGTACTTTACTCATTTCATAATGTAACATTGACAGGTTACTCATTAAAGAAACTGACATTTCCCCCTTTGCCTGGCAGTGGTAAACAGTGGTTGTTTGTTTTCTTGCCAGACTTCATAAGACACAGTAGAGCCAAAAGGACATGATATGCCAGGTTTATCATCTAGACAACATTACAAGATTATATTTACAAGATTGGCAAGAAGAACACTTTAAAATGCCACAACTAGTTGGAAACTAATGCTGTCTTAAAGTAGGATGATAGCAGCAATGTTAACTGACAGAGATGAACAGATCTAAGAGAGATTTCTTCAAACTAAGCAAGATTAAAGGCCTTACTAACTGATAAAAGGGATAGGAAGGGAAGAGTCATGGATGGCCCATGTATGTAACATAAGCACCTATGTAGATAAAAGTAGCACTTGCTGAGCTATACAGAACACTGGAAGAATAAGAATAACTTTGGAAAGGATGGGGAAAAAACTAGTCCAGTTTTAGATATGTTCAAGTGAAATACTTCTCTGTTATGGTTTTGAGTTGTGTTAGTAGAGAAGGTACAAATTCAGAAAAAAATATTTAGTCCATCCTCTACAGGTCTTGCTAGCATTCTTGACATAATTGAAGTACCCAGCTAGATTTTTTTTGGGGGGGAGGGAGGGTCATGGGGCTTGAACTCTGAGCCTGGACACTGTCCCTGAGCTCTTCAGCTCAAGGCAATCACTCTACCTCTTAAGCCACAGAACCACTTCCAGTTTTCTGGTACTTAATTGGAAATAAGAGTCTCATGGACTTTCCTGTCCTGGGCTGGCTTTGAACCCTAATCCTCAGATCTCAGCCTCCCGAGTAGCTGGGATTACAGGGGTGAGCCACCGGTGCCCAGCAAGATTATTTTTTTAGCAATACTTTTTAATGTTTGAGTTCCTAATCATAAATAGTTGCAGCAAAAACAGTACTTATGGCCATTTTTTGGTTCTGGGCTTAAACCTAGTGCCTTGCACCTGCTAGGCAATTGCTCTACCATTAAGCTATATTGCTAGCCTAATAACTGTGTTTTTATGTGATTCTGAACTAGAATTTTTTTCTCACCTAATTTTGTGTATCCTTTAATGCAGTGAGTGATGGACTGGAACTGAGACCAAAATATAAAGGAATCTTACACTGCTTGACTACCATTTGGAAAGTCGATGGACTTCGGGGACTTTATCAAGGAGTAGCCCCAAATGTGTGGGGTGCAGGCTTGTCCTGGGGTCTCTACTTTTTCTTGTGAGTAGATCTGGAAAATTTTATAGTATTAAAACTAAACGAATTCTTGGTTTGTTTGTTTTAACAAACAAAGGTGAGTCATTTCATTAGTTTCTCTGTATTAGAAGGGTCAGGAAGCAAAACGGCTTGTTAATTTCCTTCTCAGCCAGCTGTTGTTAGCTGAGTCATTTAGTCTGAAAGGGTTTGTAATAGGAAAAAATGTAAACAGGTAAGATGGAGAAATACTCTTACTCATTTCTTTGAAGTAAATTCAGGAAGGTAAAATGTTTAACTGTATTACTTTAGTAAATACATTAGAAGAAAGGTTTTAGTCAAATCTGAAAATGGCTAACTCTAGATTCACAATGAAGTTGTAAAGTCTCTTCAGAATTCTTGAGGATTTGTGTTATATTACTTACTTTTGAGTATTTCTAATGGCCAAAATAGACTATAAAAATTTGAATGAGCCAGTTTGTTTTATCAGTCGTGGGGCTTGAACTCTGGGCTTGTGTGCTGTCCTTGCACTCTTCAACTCTAAATAAATTATTTTCTCCCTTTATAAGAAATTCCTTCTAGAGGCTGGGAAGGTGGCTCAGTGGTAGAGCACTTGCCTTGCATGCATGAGGCCCTGGGTTCAGTTCCTCAGCACCACATTAGCAAAAAGAAAAAAGCCGGAAAGTGGCGCTGTGGCTCAAATGGTAGAGTGCTAGCCTTGAGGTGAAGAGCTGAGGGACAGTGCCCAGGCCCAGAGTTCAGGCCCCACGACTGGACCCAAAAAAAAAAAAAAGAAATTTCTTCTAGAGCATCTCAAAATAGAAAATCTTATAAATAGCATAACATTATGGCAGTTACTTATTCATCCTTAACCAGAGTCTCAGAATATTCAAAATAGCTTACTATTTGTGAGGAGGGTCATAATTCTACAGTAAACAATTTCCAGTATATTTATTCTTAAATAAAGTCTTATTTTTCAGTTTCATTATACATTGACTATTACTTTAGGAATAGTGTTACTAAGTTGTACTCTAAGACAGACAGACTGCTTTATGAAACCAGATCAAGTTAAAATGCTATGTTTAATTTTCTTTCAGTTATAATGCCATCAAATCATATAAGACAGAAGGAAGAACTGAAGGATTAGAGGCAACAGAATATCTCATCTCAGCTGCTGAGGCTGGTGAGGCAATGTGTAAAATATAAAACTTGATTTTTTTTTCCCTGTTTTTTTGAGGCAGGATCTCACTGTGTGTCTCAACTTGGCCTATAACTCCATGGCCAACGTTGGCGTCAAACCCAACCTACCACCTCGGCCTTCAAACATAGCTTTTATTTGCTGTCCCCTCCCCCTTTTTAACACTAGAGTTTAAATGTGCTCTTCTGTTTATATATTAATCATTACTACATGAAATTTCTTATTAATATTAATTTCTAATTATTAATAAACAGGTGTTATTGATAACTCCAGATAGGCTAATATTTTAAATTCATTACTAAACATAGTAAGGTTTAGAAATGTTTTGAATCTCAGTAAATTAAGGTGATTTTGTACAATGTTTCAGTAAAGTATAATTTCAGTTTTCAAATACAGTTTACTAGCCTTGTTTCTTTGTCTTGTGTAGTATACTATCCAGAAGGCAAAATAAAGTCTTTATAAATTTTATTTTGATATTCTTGGTTTTGCTCTTTTTATTCTTAAGGTAAGGGATAGCTTACTGACTTTAATAACTGGCTACTAGAGACCTAAATAATAATAGCCTCAATATTTATTGAATAAAAGGCTCTTTAGGAAACTCTGAAAGTGAAATCTGTACTAAATAAAATTTTTTTACAGAATTGACATTCTCTGTAAAGAATACAAAATATAACTGACTACATGGTTAGTTTTTGAGGTACAGAGACTACTTTGAATGGACTTGAGGAAGACTGATAGAGTTGGGGTGGACATATGTGTACCCATGCATAGATTCCTGAGGTGCCAGATCCTGGTTCTCTCCCCCTAATCCTCAATCCATCTAGTTGATGCTATGTCTGATTCCTAAGGTCTAGATCACCTTCCCATTCAGGTTTTACAGTAGGCTTCAGTGTTGAAGAATAAGGACATCTTTACTATTCACATTTTTTTTTATAACCACCAAAAACTGTCTATTTTTGATCCTAAGACTCTGCTTCCGGCCACATCTCACCATTTCAGTTACAACTCCTTTGTACTCTGATACTTTGTGTGATGGACTGTGCTTAATGCTAAGTAGTCTGCTTTAAATCTGATTTTAGGAGCCATGACCCTCTGCATTACAAACCCATTGTGGGTGACAAAAACTCGCCTTATGTTACAGTATGAAGGTATTGTTAATACCTCACCACGACACTACAAAGGAATGTTTGACGCACTTGTGAAAATATATAAGAATGAAGGTGTGCGTGGATTGTATAAGGTAACGAATTACTGTTAATATATTTCAGATAACTGTAGACTGTATTTGCATTGGCTCTTGTTTTTGTCTCGCTTTGTTTTTCAGACATTGTCTCACTATGAAGTTCAGACTGAACTTGAGCTCATAGTTCTTCTTGGACTCCCAAGTCCTAGGAGTAGACTTGTGCCATATCTGGCTTTTTTATTTTTTGCACATTGGCTCTTTTGTCTTGCTTTTGAATTACTGTTTAGGCCTAAAAAAGAAGCCAACCTTGTGCAAGAAATAATAAAAATGGAGATCTAGTTTATAATATTGAAATTGTACTTGAAAGTGTGTATGCTCATTACCATAAAATGTATCTTTAGCTGGGCACCGGTGGCTCACGCCTGTAATCCTAGCTACTCAGGAGCTAAGATCTGAGGATCACGGTTCAAAGCTAGCCCAGGCAGGAAAGTTCGTGAGACTCTTTATCTCCAATAAACCACCCAGAAAACTGGAAGTGGCGCTGTGGCTCAAGCAGTAGAGCGCTCGCCTTGAGCTGAAGAGCACAGGGCAGTGCCCAAGCCCAGAGTTCAAGCCCCACGACCGACCCAAAAAAAAAATGTATCTTTATAATACTGATATCTATGAGAACTGGCTAAAACTTCGTCAGGTGTTCTTTCAGTAAGTCACACTTACCTGTTTTCTACTTCTACTCCTTGCTTATCCCCATAAAAAATAACCTTAGACCACATATAGTTTAAAATCAAAATTAGATACATTGAATTTGTTTTTCAGGAATTATGTAATAGCTTTTGAAGTCAGTAACTTGAAGTTGATATAATTGATTACTAAACTATAGGCAAAAATTTTAGACTGTACCAGGTTCTTGTACCCATAATCCTAGCTACTTGGGAGGCTAAGCTCTAAGGATTACAGTTTGAAGCCAGTCTCAGCTAGAGGTTAAGCATGGCTTGAGTGGTAGAATAGTGCCCACAGTGAGTGAAAAAGTAAAGCAAGAATGTAAAGACCTGGATAAAATTCAAGCCTCAGTACTGACACACTTTTTGCTTTCTTTTAAATATCTATGCTTAATCCAATGAAATATTACTACCTTTACTTTCTTAACTGAATTTAAGTTCCTACCCATAACCCAGTTCTTGATAGTATGGACCTTGATGTTATGTCCATACCATTCAAAGAAAAACTAAGTTAAAGAAAATCTAAACCTTATTTTAACCCCAAATAAAATGTGATTTATGCAAAGTGTAATTTGCTTAAAGTTCTATTTTAAGTAGTCAAAATATTTTACTTAAATATACCTTTCTTTAAAAGTTGTTTTTAGTATGTTTCAAATCTTCCCTTTTAGGGTTTTGTTCCCGGGCTCTTTGGAACGTCACATGGTGCCCTTCAGTTTATGGCATATGAGTTGCTGAAGGTGAAATACAACCAGCAGGTCAACAGATTACCAGAAGCCCAGTTGGTAAGATGAGCGTTGAAGAAATGATAACATTTACTTTTATGGACAGTTAGTAAGAATATTTTTCATGTGCTTGCTTCATGTAATATTGCTGTGGTTGATATAGCATAAGCTAGTGCCATACAAATATTGAAACTAGAACCCCATATAATATAGGGCTTGTATTAAAGAAGGGGACAGTATTTTTCATGTAAGGACTCATTAAAATTTTTTCATGTAATTTTTACCCCTGCATTAAAAAAAAAAATTTTGTTGGTTGTGGGGGCTGAACTCCGGGGCCTGGGCGCTGTCCCTCAGCTCTTCAGCTCAAGGCTAGCGCCCTACCACTTGAGCCACAGTACCACTTCGGCTTTTTTCTGTTTATGTGGTGCTGAGGAATCAAACCCAGGGCCTCATGCATGCGAGGCAAGCATTCTATCACTGAGCCAAATTCCCAGCCCTCCCCCTGCATTTTTGAAGAAATTCTTGTCCAAAGAAAACTACAAATGTTTTCTGTCATTCTAGAGCACAGCAGAATATATATCTGTTGCAGCACTGTCCAAAATATTTGCTGTGGCAGCAACATATCCATATCAAGTTTTGAGAGCCCGTCTTCAGGATCAGCACATGTTTTACAGTGGTGTAATGGATGTAATCACAAAGACATGGAGGTAAGAGCATGCAGAATATCAGAGTTGCTCTGAGGAAGTATTTCGTATGTCTTATATGTCCATTACAGTATTCATTTTATAAAAAAGCCAACTTGCTATGGTAAAAGTGTGGCTGGGGTTCCTGCTTTCCCATTTATTACATAGGTGTTCTTGAACTATATTTCTCCGAGGCTTGATTTCTTCATTTGTAAAATCAGACTATCACAGCTGACAGGTTTTCATAAAAATGAAGCAGGACACATGAAAGTGCTTAGAAAAAAATTTAGGTAGTATAAAGTATTTGAATAGTATTGAATACAGAAGCCACAAACCTAGTTTAACACATTCAAGAAGACCCATACTTGTTACTGATTCCAAAGCTTTTTCAAGTACTTCTCATCTCTATTCATGAAGACATATTTACTTGTCCTTCAGCATGAGAGGAGTTAAACAATTATGGGTCCATTTTATCCTAAAAGGCCTGAGGCAAGTATTTAGAGTCTTTATTTTAATATGTACTGTAGAGTTGTATCACATTTATATAACTTATGAGATTCTTAATACCTTCATTGATCAGTTAAAATTCCCGCATTTTCATCCATTAAAATATATGACAGCTGGGAGCTGGTGGCTCATGTCTATAAGTCTAGCTACTGTTTATGATTAATCAGCAAAAAAGCTGGAAGTGGAGCTTTAGATCAGGTGGTAAAACACCAACCTTGAGTGAAAAAGCCACGTGAGAGTGCTCCAACCTGAATTCAAGCCTCAGTATTGACACAACTAAAATCTATATGGTGTATATACTATATGTGATATATATATATATATATATATATGTTAATTGAAAGCACTTTTCAGTTCACTTTTGAGGTGTCAACTACCCTTTTCTGTCAGTTTAGAAAAGAATTGTAAGCCCTCACAAATGACTTATAAACTATAGTGACTCAGAACATTGTAAACATAGACTTAAATCATAGGTTTGACCGCTTACTCCCTGTTTTTTATCTATTAAGCATGTGCATTTTGTAAGGCTTGCCTTAAGAATTTAAGCTTTTATCTACTTTTTTCCATCTACAGGAAAGAAGGCATTGGTGGATTTTACAAAGGAATCGCTCCCAATTTGATTAGAGTGACTCCAGCCTGCTGTATTACCTTTGTAGTATATGAAAATGTCTCCCATTTTTTACTTGACTTTAGAGGAAACAAAGTAAGCTAAAAGAAAATAATTCCAATTTCTCTGCCCAGACCACAAGTTCCTTTGTGTTTGAGTCATGAAACTGAGAAGAATGCTGCACAACCAAATAGCTCATAATCAAAATTTATCTATAATCATTAGAAGTCAAAGAACTGCCAAGTCTTCTTAATGTTTCCTGCTTCTTTGCTTCTCCATATATGTGGGACTGGGCTACCTCTAAGTGTAATGCCTGCTTCAGCATAATGTTAAAACTGGAACAATGTGTAGAATTTCACAAATTTTACCATTTCATTGTTCCAGTAGAAACTACTTGGCAACATTTGTAAATAAGATTAGATAAATACTTTTTTTCTGAGTTCTTTTGCCTACATAGGCTTTAAAATTGACTTTTGTGCAATAGGAAGAAAGTGGCTTCTTACAAGATTGTCATTATTTAAAGATAAACTGAATAAGCTATTGCTCAAATCCAGACCATTTTGAATGGAGACATTTTAGTGAGATTAAAAACTACTGAAAATTTACTGTAGTTTTAATTTAACCAAAGCACACTATGGAAATTGAAGAAGTTATAAGAAGTTACATACTTCTCTGAGAAATGCCTAACATCTTTCTGCTAATGTTTTCCCCCCAGAGGCTCTTCTATAATTTAAAATGTAATCTTGGATCCAGTTCTATTTTGGTCATAAGTAGTGTAGTTCAAAGTTATAAAATCTGAATTTCTAGGATCCAGCATGTCAGCCTTTAGTTAGTATATATGGTATAAATTACTAGAGATGATAAGTAGATCATGTTTCACAGATGCTTGAATGTTTGAGATGTGTTTATTTAAAACATGGAATAGAAAGCTGGGCGCCAGTGGCTCATACCTATAACCCTACCTACTCAGGATGCTAAGATCTGAGGATTGTATCTCAAAGCCAGCCCAGACAGGAAAATCTGTGAGACTCTTATCTCCAATTAATCTCGTGTGTGTGTGTGTGTGTGTGTGTGTGTGTGTGTGTGTGTGTGTGTGTATACACGCGCACACACACAGAGCCAGAAGTGGAGCTGTAGCTCAAGTAGTAGAGCACTAAACTTGACCAAAAAAGCTCAAGGACAGTGCTAAGGCCCTGAGTTGAAGCCAGGACTGGCAAAGAAAAAAACCCAACGAGGAATAGAAATGAGAAACTGAACTTTCTACTTTAATTTTCAGATACATGGATCCAAGTGCCAAATAAGTGATTAATAATACAAATTACATTAGTGGCCACTATTGATTTTATTTGGCCTCATTATAGATATTTATAAGAAGTGTCTATAAGGCTTACTCCCAGAGGATGTCAGAAAAATAGTTAATTTATCATAAATAACTGAGTGTTATTGTACTCCATCTGTTTGTTGTTAATAAAAAATTTTGGCCATAGCCATATTTAAATGGTTCTTTGAAATAAATCTACTTTTTATATTTTAGAACTGGCATTTTTGAAAAAAATAAAGATGAAATGATAAATACCTAATTCTGTTTACTAAAATATCTTATAATATGCATAGGAGTGCTTTATAAATTATGGTGTATTTTTCATACTTCTAGGTTATGCTATAAGTCATATGAAATTACACTTCTGCCTATATGGAAAGCCAAGGTATAGTTGATACTTGGAGTTTTATGTTACCCCCTCCCCCCAAAAAAAGAAAAAATGCATATGTTCTCTATGAGAGCATACAAACTTGCATTTAAAAAAATAGGTATTAAATAACTATAGTTCTTTGTTAAGAGTATGCAAGAAAGTGCTTTAAGAGTTCTGAGAAAGAAGAAATCTCATTCAGCAATAGATAGTTACTGAGTCAGGGGAAGAATAATTTTATGGGTTTGTCAGGTGTTAAGCCTCACCTTCAGAGCATTCTGAAAAATGACTGGGACAGTAAAGGTTGTCCAGTCCAGACGTAAGGGGGCTGGGCAGGAGGTAGCTTAGACCTGATTTGACAGGGCCTACGTGATGATTTATAGCTTGGGGGGAACTACAGCAGGGTTTACAAAGCAGAAAACATTTAGCTTGGTCCTTGAAGGAAGAGATTCTAAAAGGAATCTCGAGAGAACCTATGACAGGTTGAGAGCAGAGGTGGCTTGACTTGAACAGTGAATTGTCAGTGTAGTAAGTAAAAGAACAAGCTGAAAGGTTGGGGCCAGAGAAGTCTTGGAACCTTACTAAGCTGCTGCAGCTTTGTTAGGAAAATGAGAAAAAAGTAATTAAAACAAAGAAGCCTACATCTTATGAATGACAGAAAGACCAATCAAATAGGTGGAGCAAACTCACAATTGAAAGCATTATCAATGTGAATATTTCGTTAGGATGAAGTGATGTCACTGATAACTTTAAGCTGATTGAAATTAAAGAGGCAGTGGACAGATCACAAGCAGCTAAGGAGATAGGGGAAACTTCCAAGTATTCGTTTCACTATTTCTGAAGTTTGGCAGATAAAGAAATAGAACTAGCTTGAAAAAAAGGGACTGAGAGTCCAAAAAGAGGAAAAAGTGTGAGAGGTTAAGCAAAGAGAAAGCCAAAGACTGAACTATTGGAAATACAGGTAGAGCCAACAAACAAAAATAATTTTGTTGTAGCTGTACATCAGAGAACATGATCTAAGATGATTATGGGTATTAATGCCTTGTGAAAGGCAGGTGATTTCCCACTACAATATATGCTTTTGTGGTCTAAAATATTGTAAAAGACTTTACTTTTATTCTGTCTTCTAAAACTGTTAGATAGCATGCAGAAAATGTGTGAAATTTTGGTTTGAATTCAAATTTCTAAAGGCATAAATAGGAAGTAGACTATAAGAAGTACCTGTAATGAATACTTGTTATTCCCTACCTCTTCCTTCTTGAAGTAGCCTATTGCTTCTGGGAAACTACCCTTTCCCTTCATTCCCAGTTTTGTGATTTAGGTGAAATCAGCCTCACCTGACATAGAATTGGGTCCTCATTAGCAGATCCGATCTCAATGCACCATCCCTATTCGTAATTATAAATGGTTTGGAATTAGCAGTTATTTAAACTGGCCTGGTCAGACTGACATTTAAAGATGTTTTTTCCTCAACATACTGACAGATTGCTTTGTTATTTCACGAAGATGCATGTAACTCTAGACCTCCTGAAAGCCAGTTTACGATCATGAATTGGGCAAAACAAGTCTGTCCAAAATGGAGTCAACATCAAAGAAGTAACAAAAAGAAACTAGGTTTGAGTCATATGACTGCCATATGTTTCTCCTAAGCAGCTTGTTACCTCTTAGTTTTCAATTGAGTGAAGAATAAATTTCCTTTATTTTCAAAAACAATCTGTTAGTTTTTCTTCTGCTCCTAAATAACAGACTCTGATACAGTCCTTAAACTCTTTTCACTTTCCTATCAGCTACTGTGACCATTAACAATGGAAATCAATGTCACCTTTACAAAAACTGAGCACTTTGTGGCTACTGAAGTGGCTAGGGGAAAGCTGCTTCACCCCTACAATGTTTTCTGTCTTTAAGAGCCTCTGTATCATGGATGCATTGGTAGACATTGACCTGGGACACAAATTTCCTCAGAGGCCCATCCATATACCATCATGTCTGAAGTTCCGCATCACCAATCTTCCATTCTTTTTCCAAGTTCCTGGCTATGCAGCAAAACCATTAGCAACTGGACATGAATTTGTGTAGATCTATACTTCTGACCATCTTCTATCCCATCCCTGTTCCTAAGCAACTTCAACCATTTTCACTTTTATTTTCATAGCTGCAACCCATTTCAACCTTACTTCCCTTGCATTTTTGACCAACTAAGGATTAGATCAGAAGTTTGGTTGTTTCTTGGGAATACTTAGTTGGAGAAAGGCACTTGTCCCCTTTGGAATATTATCTGTCGATGGACACTGCAATATCCTAACATGCATAAGAGGTTTAAAAAGGTGATGTTGACCCAGAGTTGGGTCCCGATCAGCAGATCCCATCTTAATGCACCATCCCTAATCATAATTATAAATGGTTTGGAATTGGCAGTTACTTAAACTGGCCTAATCAGGCTGACTCTTAAAGATGTTTTTTCCTTAATAGACTGTATCTGCATAAATGATTCCAAAGAGACGGCTCACTCAGGACACAGTTAAATGCTGTACTGGAAAGCTTGACTCAGTGTTCCCATATCTCTGTCCAAATTCCACTAGACATGATGCCTTTCAAATAAAATCTCAAACTCACACATATATAACTTTTAACTTCTTTTTTCTTAGCAGGGGTAGGGAGTAACATTCTTTTTGGAAGGGAAATTTTAATGGAAACACCCAGCAGATTACACCGTGATTTAAATACAACTGATGAGGGACAGAACTTTTCATCAGCTGAGCTGTGCAATGCACATATGGGAGTTAAGAACCTTAGTTTTTTAAATTTTGACTTAAAGGTGTTTTTTTTTTAAACCATGCTTGAACAAAACCACATGCAATAAATCTGAAAGTGAGGTTACTGTAGTTACTATAATGCATATACTATGTGTGTGTGTATATATATAATTTCATAAGGAGAAATTCCTATTCACATAAAGAGTCCACATAAAGAAGCAAGAATACATGTTTGGTTCTGTTTACCAGTTTTGAAAATAGCAAGATGGTTTGCTGGCATCCTACAAGTTGACTAATTATATTATGAGCTCAAGCATGTAAACATTTCATATGTTTCAGACCACTACAGTTATCTTTATTGATACCACTGCAAGATGACTCCTTGGGTCCTTTTGAGTAGTCTTTTGTAGTTGAGTTTTCTAATATGACAGGGTATTCTGAGCTTATACTGTACATTTACTGCCCAAGAGCTAAAAATGACTCTTTTTTTTCGTGAATCCTTACTTAGTTCCTGTTAGTAAAAATGATACATAGAGATTACAACATGGCATTGCTAGACTACCCATTTTTCCTAGGCCTTTTGAGTGAGCAAAGTTAGAGGATTGTGACTTCATTGTGTCTAATTTTAAGATAAAATGTCTTTCTGATTCAAGCCAGAATTTACTTAACTTCATTCATCAATCTTAAATACCTATCTGCTGGGTGCCAGTGGCTTCTACCTGTCATCCTAGCTACTCAAAGGGCTGAAATCTGAGGATCAAAGTTTAAAGCTAGCCCAGGCAGGAAAGTTTTATCTCCAGTGAACTACTTGGAAAAGGCTGGAAGTGGTGCTGTAGCTCAAGTAGTAGAGCACTAGCCTTGAGTACAGAGAGGCTCAGGGACAGTGCCCAGGCCCTGAGTTCAAGCCCTGAGATAAGCAAATCCTGCCTTTCTGATTATCCTGACCAGAAGTGATTGTTCTTACTTTGTTCTACACTTCAACACTTTGATTTTGTGTGTATATCTGACCTAAATGGTAAGCAATTTGAGACCCGAATCCCTATCTTTTTACTCTTTTTAAATAAAAATAAAATTTTAAATAAAAATAACACAATACCTTTGATACAAACCCATACTATATATGTATTAAAACCCCATACAAATTGTTAAACAAATACAAATTACATTTATGGTCAACCTTTTAGGTATAAAGTACTAGAAACTCCAGTCTTTGTGGCAACTAGTTTCAAGGTGGTAAAGTTGTTTGAAATAACTTTATTTGACAGGATATAAAACAATTCTAAACATTTACATGAAGACTTATACAAAGACTAGTAACTTATGTTTTTTCAAATACTATACTAAGAAAATCTAAAGACCACATTGAGAATATGAAAAAAAAAGTATGCATAGTATTTTTACTTCAAGTAAAAATACATAATACTATGCCAGGTGCTGGTGGCTCACAGCTGTAATTCCTTCTACTCAGGAGGCTGAGATCTGAAGACCATGGTTCAAAGCCAACCCAGGCAGGAAAATCTGTGATACTGTCTCCAGTGAATCACAGAGCTGAAAGTGACTCAAGTGGTAGAGCACTAGCCTTGAGCCAAAAGGAGCTCAGGAACACTGCCCAAGCCCAGAGTTCAAACCCCAGGACCAGAAAAAAAAAAAAACCTAATGTTAGAACAGTGTAAAAGCACACTTTGGTCTGTAAACATGTACAGCTTTTCATTCAGATGTATACATAAAAATTTTTTTAAATGTCATTTAAATGAACCATTTGACAATGTAAAATTAAAAAAGAGGTAGGGAATGAGAAAGGATTCATTTTGGTAGTTCTTCAATAATGATGCGAGACACTGAATTCCACCCAGTAGAAGCATCTCCTTTTGGATAATCTGAACAAGTACCAACCCAGATAGCAACATCCACCAATCCAGCACCAATCCCTTCACAGAGTCCTTCCACTGCAAAACAGAGACAACAGTCATTTTCAAAGTGAGCCAAACCATTCCCTTTGCAATTACTTAAGAAAGCTGTATTATAATTCTGCTTAATGTAAAGTAAATTAAAAAAAATTTTTTTTTGGTCATATGGCTTGAACTCTGGGCCTGGGCACTGTCCCTAAGCTCTTCAGCTCAAAGCTAGCGCTCTACCACTTGAGCCTCAGCGCCACTTCCGGTTTTTCGGTGGTTTATTAGAGATAAGAGTCACAGATTTTGCTGCCTGGGCTGGCTTTGAACTGCGATCCTCAGATCTCAGCCTCCTGAGTAGCTAGGATTATACGTGTGAACCACCAGCGCCCGGCTGCAAATTAAAATTTCTAATGCCTGATAAGGGTTTTGTGATATATATGTGTGTGTGTGTGTATAATATACATATGTGTGTATATTATTATACATATATATGTACATATATATGTATATTATACACGCACACACACACACACACACATATATATATATATATATATGTCCTAAGATACAAACTTAACTGGTATTTTTTCTTCCAAGTATCAAACGTAAGACCAGAATTTGATTATAGAGTGAGCCTAAACCAAAAAGTAACTTATTTGATTAAAAGAAAGCTACAGTTTTTAAATCCAAGATTTAAAATTTGGAAGATGCTGAAAGAAAAGATGTGAACATCTTTTTTTTTTTTTTTGGGGGGGGGGGTCCGGTCGTGGGGCCTGAACTCTGGGCCTGCGCACTGTCCCTCAGCTCTTCAGCTCAAGGCTAGTGCTCTACCACTTGAGCCACAGCGCCACTTCCGGTTTTTTTCTTTTTGCTTATGTGGTGCTGAGG